CTACTCACTTTTAAGTAGGTGTGATAAATATATATGTAAACTAAAAGAAGTTCAAATGTAAACGGCTAGTTAATATGATCTTACCGGTTAACAGCAATGTGTTTTGTTTGCTGTAATTCAAATAGCATGCTTTCAGTCACATGTTTGAACAAGTGTATCTAAGCTACACCTTTGTGTTCATTGAAACTCAAGTTGATTTGGTACTTCAATCTAACAGTTGTTTAATTATCTGAAGCAATGATTTGCTTTTCAAATTCATGAATGAAAAGATTTATTTGTTAGTTAAGCAATAAGAAGTAATGTAATAGTTAATTTTATATATTTCCAATTGATCGTATTAAACATGTTTTGAAATTGTATGTATACAGTTGTTCATTCATATACTCAAGTGATAAAGTAACTCCACTATCTTGTTTTTGAGGATAGATGAATATGCCAAGGCGTCTGATTATGAAAAAATGCACAATTCCAAAATTTATGGTAACTAATGTTAGCTTTTTGAAATTCCATGATTGGTATTCCAATGACTTGGAAGTTGCACAACTTATAATAAACTAAAGTGTTTTTATTATACTATTTACAACTGAATCATGTTGATGATCATAGTAAGAATTTCTATATGCATCACTTCCTTAGATGAGGTAGGTCGAAAGAAACGAGTTACAGCTCAGTCCTGTGATTTTTTAAAAAAATAAGTGGCATTCAGCGGTTTTAGGAAGTCACTAGTTCCCAATTTGATTGTTCATCAAAATAACTAAACATATATGGTTGGGAATTTATGCGTAAATACATTGTTATAAGAATACAGATCATATGCTAGGTCACAATGATATTTAACTTGCTGGTAAATTATAAGTAAAAATACAATCTTCTGCATAATTTCCAAATGTTTAACTAAATAATTAAGTGTAGTCAAATCGTGTCTGTCAGAAACCATATTTGGTAATGAACAGATGTGGATGGTGGCCAGCAGTGTAATGCGGTACTCGTGTTTCATACTGTTTGGGACTAGTCAGCTGAATTTGTCTGCATCCACGAGTTGATGTTCACTCCGGGACTCGAATTAAATTTCACTCCATGGCATGAGCTGACGGCTATCTGACCTCAGTATTTAAGTGGGTAACGCGATGGCGTTTGAAATGAACGGTAGTGGTAGCGATCATTTGCAATCCTAAATATCAGTGGGAAGATTCAAACAACCAGTACATAGTTGGTAATGTTTACAATGAAAACTATCAACTGATTGTTATATCTTGTGACTGCAGATTAGAGAGCAGCGTATTATCGATCGGACCAAAGACGCGTAATCACTTGAGAACAACCTAGAGTCGTGATTGGTCCTGCTTCCCCGTCTAGCCCAGCCAGTTGAGTCCAGAACGCAAGTCTCAGCCTCTGAGATATGAATCATTATATTTAAAGCATACTGAGTTTATATACCAAACAAACCGACCACAACGTACCAATAAAATATGAAACAACATTTGTACAGGAATTAGCCAGATGTGGCTGTGAATGAGGGAGGTAGCAATTAACAGACAGGGAAAAATTCATGAATGGTAAGTCGTATAATAATAGTTCATAGGTCATGAATATGAACCGTTTAGTTACATAACAATTATACGATAAAAGTATACTCATAATATTGGTCCGTAAATGGATCCCCAAAATTACCATTCATTATTCTTATCGGGATACAACACTGACTAATAATTACGCTGTTGTATAATTTAATGTAAACTGAATTTAACATCAAATGTGTTTTTGCATCATTAATTGGAAATTTTTTTAATGATTGTCAATTCACCTGAGTTTGTTTTAAATAGATAACTATTTAGGTACTAAGTGTCGATGTATAACTCAAATGTAATGACAATATTCTATGTTTTCGTCCATGTAATGTCAAATATTATCTTTTGACTTTTAATACCTAAAAAACAATTTTAATCACATAGAATGAGAAAAATAACTCGAAGTTTATTTTGCACATTATTTGCAGTATATGTAGTGTTCAAAAACTCTATTGTCGAAAAATGGGAGGCTAGAAAACGTCTTGATGAAGACGAGGGTAATATAATTATTTTTTTTATAGTTTTGGTTAATATCACATTGTTAGACAACTGAAGGCAGTAACGTTATAAAAGACATAATTCCTAAACAAAAGATGTTCCTAAGTTTAGGCGTTCGTCTACCAATATCCTCAATATGAATCACAAATTCACAAAATAAACTATACCTTAAAAGAATCTTCATTGTTGTTAAGCTGATGTAGTAAAAATTTCATTTCCTGATTGTTTGATTTTATAGATTTCATTATTAATAGTTATTACTTGTATTGTTCAGACTTTCATTAGTATTACAACTCCGACTCAGTTTGCAATCACATCACAGCACCAAAACTAAATGTTTACAAAAAAAGATTATTCAATGATTTATACGAATATTCGTCAAGATAAGAATGAATAATTTGACAAAAATTGGGTGTCGAGTATAGAGAAGTCCTTATATGTGAGAATTATATTTGAAGTGTTCTCAGCGATTGAAATTTAAATAATTCCAACGTTTCCTCCAGCTAACTTGTCTGGACTTCTTCAGGGTAATAATCAAAATCAAAATCATCATAGAAATATGTAGGTTTTTAATAATCAAAACTATACTGTGTTAAACCAATCATATTTAGATGTTGAGTTTTGTAAAATAAGATAAAATGAGTCAGTTAAGTGTAAATCACGTGAAAAATCCAACTACATGGAAGTAATTAACTGAATAACAAATTGTATGTGTGAGAGTGTGCAGGTATGTATGTATGTGTAAGATTAATTATTGATATTTGGTGTTGATATGTTATATATGAAGGAATAAATAAATAAAAGTCCAAGTTCAAGGTTGAAAATTTGTTAATGAATCATCGATGTGCATGTCAAATCCAAGAATCAATAGATACATAATTGTATTGCTAAAAACTCATTGAATTCAGTCAAAATAACGATGCATTTGAAATAAACAGGTTGAATAATGCGAGGGTTCAAATTACTTGTCAACGAAAATTTGCTAGGTAGTCGCTGGTTGAATACCATTCTTTCGGTTCAAGCTGTTCTTGTTCGCCCACATATACAGCGCTTCTGCTGTCAATCTTTCTTTATGGGTGTTAAAACCTTTCTGAAGTATTGTGGTCCCTTCAAGATTAATCTTGTGTCCTGTTTCTAATGCATGTAACGCTATCGTAGACTTATTCTCAAGTTTCTTCAAGTCGACCGAGGATTTGGGAACATTTTTCAAACATTGTTTGTGTTCCTTCAACCTTACATTCAATTGTCTGGATGTTTATCCCATATAAGCTGTATTACAATCATGACAGTTGATCTCATACACAATATTTTGTTACTCTTCCTTTGGTAACCTGTTCTTAACTTTCACTAATGTCGATCTTAAAGTATCACTTGCCCTAAAATACACTCTTATATCATGTTTGTTTAGAATCCGCTTGATGTCTTCCGATGTTTCACTACGGTATGGGATGACTACGGTGTACTTCTAAACTTTTCGTATACATTCTAGTTTAATGTTTCTCTCATTTTTAACAATCCTCTTTAAAATCTCTTTTGGGTAGTTGTGATATGATTGGTTTAACACAGTATAGTTTTGATTATTAAAAACCTACATATTTCTATGATGATTTTGATTTTGATTATTACCCTGAAGAAGTCCAGACAAGTTAGCTGGAGGAAACGTTGGAATTATTTAAATTTCAATCACTGAGATTATTTCAAATATAATTTCCACATATAACGACTTATTTAATGATTTGATTAATATTTCACGAGTAGATAAATATGCTGTAAATATGTTCCCCTTCCAATAATAGACTATTTAAGTGGAGCTTTTTCAGTTAGATAATTTCAAAATCTTTTGAAACATTACGTTACTCACATTCTAAGATTAAAATAAGAAAAATCAAAAACAATGAGATTATGTAGAAATTATTCCCACAAAAATAAAAACGAAATTATAGACAATTAAATTTCTTGATGAAGCATGTTTAATGTTGGTAATCGGATTTCACTAATCCATTGCTCTTTTTTTTGTTGTTGTTTGAAATCCAGAAGCCTATTTTCAAAGTTTAGAAACAGGATTGCATAATGATACCGGTTAGTAATGAATATGATTTCGATGTTAATTTTCTAAAATGTCCTAACAAAAAATCATTATAATTGAAAGTAATTAAAATTCCATAACTAAATTGTATTTTCTTAGTAAAAGTAAGATTAGAGTTCTTAACTGTATTATTAAAAGAGCGAAAATTTTATTGATATTTTTGAATATACATAGATATTTTTCAGAAACTAAAACCACTCTTGTATGGAATTACTAGATCACTATGTGATATCCTTTATAAATTTCAAAATATACACTGACTCATGAATATGGAGATTATGAGGGTTCCGATCAGTAGTTTTTATCTCTCAATTGACCTTTCCGATTTTTTAAAGTAAATAAATAAGATCGTTTAAAGATACGTATTGTATTAAAAGACTAATATTTGAAGGTTTAAATATTTGTCTTTTAAATAAATAAGATTTTAGAAATTGATCAAAGAAGCACAGCTAAAATATCATCTAATCAGTTAACACAAGTTTTATAATGCTGTAGTAATATACGTGGAAATTAATAGAAAACATCCTTGATTATATGTGAAAATTATATTTGAAATAATCTCAGTGATTGAAATTTAAATAATTGCAACGTTTTGTCCAGCAAACTTGTCAAAGAAATATATATTGTTTAACAATCAAATCAAATCTTTACTGTACTTATCCAATCATATTCAAATGGTGACTTTAGTAAGTAGGATAAGATGTGTCAGTTATATGCGAATCAATGTGAAAAATTCACCATGTGAAGATAAAGAAATAAATGATTTTGTGTGTGTGTGTATTTGTGCATGTGTAAGTTTTAGTACCCTATACTTGGCACCCAATTTCTGTCAGACTATTCATTCTATTCGTCAATTAAAGTTTTGATAAATCCAAAGTGCCATCAAGTCGCTTCTTTAATTAATTTGTCATTGTTTTACTGAATTTAAGCTGATTAAGTTGAATATGAAGTGGTAAAATGTCTCATGTATGAAATCGACCCAAATATTGAATGATATTTACGGAAAAATGTTATTTAATTGTAATTAATAATATATTTATAGAATATGACGAGTTAGAAAAGAACATAACTAAAATTGAAAGTGAAATTCCTTGTTTATATGGTAAGTTAATTAGTAGAAAATTTATTTTAGAATACTTTGTGCTGTCTAAAAGGTTTTTTATAATAGGAGTCTGTTAATATGATGTTACACTTGAATAAACATAGATGACAAAGTTGTCTTATCAGTATAGCGTTGTGGATATGTCTGAGTTTTTTAATTGAGGTCATGAAATGATCAATGTTAGACAAGCATTGAAAACCTGGAAGTACTGAATGGCCGTTTCAACCCAGTATGAGACTCCTCAGTAGTGTGCATCTAAGACCCCATATGCGGGGTCCGAACCCAGGACCATCGATCTCGCGCTCAAATTCTTAACCTGTAGACCAGTGAACCGGCATCTAATGGTGTTAATGTCTAACTTCAATCAATCCACGATACTGCTCGACCATCTTATATTGTTTTCGTTGGTAACTGCCTCATACTTGACACGAATTATCTCTAGTCGTCACGGATTCTCATTAGGATTCCGATAATTACCTCTCGAAACTAGTTACTAGTGCGTACATGATAATTATCAGTATAGGGTTGTTGAGTTTTTTAAATTGACATAGTGAACCGATCCAGTGCTTCCAGGTTTTCAATGGTGTTTTGACATTGATCGGTTCATGATCTCAATCAAAAGGTTGTCTTAATTATTTTATTTTTATGTTAACGCAGTTGAATGCTCCTACATTGAATTTTACTGCACTTTAAAATCACTGTTACTCTTAAATAATAAACTTACAGTTTTGACAAAATAGCAATGAGTTTATTTAACACAAGTAATTTATGGAGCCAATCAGATTATTAGAGATTTGATTAGAATCAGTGTTTGAGAATACAATGGTTAATCGACTACATATAATTCATGCAAAACCCATAGGTTATATACAGTCAAAATTCAGAATTTAATTATAGTCAAATCGATTGTAGTTTTGGTTACTATGTTCTAGCTTCTGGACTGGCCAACTTATTCATTTAGCTTGAGTCACGTTTTGAATTTGTTAATTATTCACTTATCAACCCTGACTGTTTTTATATGAGCGCATAAGTGTGTGCACATTTATTATCCTATTCATCACATGTCTGTCACTTATTTTTGTCTGACTGATTAACGCCTGGCTAAATGGAGTTGGTTCACACACCTTCTCCATTGTGTATTATTTCTCTTCGCTCTCTTCTCTTCGCTTGTCTGTCCCGTTGTTCGGTGCTTCTTGAGTTTCAGTTTCATCTTGGCGACCAGTAAGTGATGATCTGATGCTACATCAGTCCATGTAGTTTTGTGAACGCGTTTTTGTGAGAATGTAGTGCCGCCTATGACCAGTTTATTGAAGGCACAGGGGTTTGTAAATCTCTCACCATTTTAATTCTTTTCTCCCAGTCCGTGTCGTTTCATGATTTCTTCATATCCGGTGTTGTCCATTCCCACCTAGGCATTTAGGTCTACCTTCAGAATGATCAAGTCCTTTGTTGGGCACTTTTCGACGATTAACTGAAGCCTATCGTAGAACTGATGTTTAACATCCTCACTGTAGTCGTTGGTAGGCGCATAGCATTGGATGACGTTCATTGAAATGCCCTCTTTCTTTGTTTTGAAGGAGGCCTTGATGAACCTTGGTTCATGAAATTCCCATCGTATAAGTGCATTTTGTGCTTGTTTGGACAGCATCAATGCAACTCCTAGCGTATGTGGGTCATTTTCTTCTTCATGGCCGGAGTATAACAGAAGCTCACCTTGAGCTATTCGTTGTTGCTCAACATGTGCCCAATGTGTTTCACTGATCCCGACACCTCCAGGTTGTATCTCCTCATTTCTGCAGCAATTTGGAAGATTCTCCCAGTCTCACACATTGTACGAGCATTCCGTTTACCTAAATAAATGGTTGCTCTGGTTATTAGAAGGGACATCGGTCTCATGACTTCCGAAGGAACTTGGCTTTCACTATGAGGCGTCATAACTCTTCTAAATGAAGACCTTCTGACTCCCAGGGCAGGGTTTAAATGGGTTGAATAATTGTGCCTGATTAGCGTTTTTTTAGCGAGTTATTTTTCTACGGGATGGGGTCGCTGACGCCATGCTTAACCCTCCTCCTCTATTCGGGCTTAGGACTGGCGGTAACCCCTGGAGGGGCTCCAGGCGGAGTTATTTTTTTGACTACAATGTGAAAACAATTCGAAAATTTTTTAATAACAAACTGGAATTTATTTATAATTAATTATTATACAAGAGGGAAACTGAACTCTTTTAAATGAATTTCATTTTCTCAGAGAAACTAAAATCACTTTCTGAATCGTTAGCTGAAATTACAAACGAATACATTAGAAATTCAGGTAAGAAACTGATATGTAGTAAATACGAATCAAAGATAGTAGTTATAAAGTGCTTACAATCACGATCCTTCTGTAATATATAGTCAAACGACTAGTTAAATTTATTGAGATAGGTATAACTTTTCTCCCGGTGTCTTTTTAATGTTAGATAACGATTACGATAAACACTTCAGAAATCACTTTTATCCGTATTTCGAGAAGCATATGATTTTGGTAGTTATTACGAAACATTTGAATACTGTCCTTAAAGTCATCTACACGTAGTACATTGTTGTAACGTGTGACTGACTGCAGGGTTTTGGATACGCAGCGCATAGTTATCGGTTCGGGATCTGTGACAGTGACACGGAAAACACGTAAGGATGACCTAGTGCCCTGATTGGCCCTGCTTCGCTGTCTAGCCCCAGCCAGTTGAGTCAAGAACACAAGTCACAGCCTCTGGGTTATGAATCCTTATATTTCAAACATACTTTGTTTATATACCAACCAAGCATACCACATCGTACCATAAAATAGGAAACAACATTTACAAAATATTTAACAATTGAAATAAACATCGACCAATAAGAAATGTACATTTAAGGTTCAAGGACACCATTGGACTTAACATGATAATTATTGGTCTCTTTTTCCGACTATCCTAACATACATGAATGCAGTGAGAGTGTTTGAACGTTTCATTATATTTTGTTTTTGATGATGAGCAAATTATATGCTACTTAATTGTTAATGCATAGTTGACATTTCATTCTTTTATTGTTCTGTGCAAATTAAACAGTTTGCGTAGTTTTTATTTCTGAATTAAAAAATTCCATTTGTATTTCAGCTGATCCTTTGAGAAGCAATGAACTACATCAGAAGTTCCGTAATTCTTCTATGGTTTATGCTGAAATTACATGTAATTAATTTGAAGTAACCTTATTCATTTGTTCACCTTTAATTTGCAATTGACTGGTTGAGTGAGTAGTAGTACCGTGTTTATTTAAACATTTAAGTGTTAGTCTAGTTTAAAAGATTAGTTTTTGATGTACACGTTAATCAAAGTGACAGGCGATCGTGTCCACTTGGTCGATAGGATTCTATCAGCACTGAAAAGGACTAGACAAATATGAGATTGTCTAATACTCAATGATCAATTCATTAAAAGTATTTCAGTTTAATAGAAGGTCAGTACCAGTCCAAAGAGATTAGTGGTAATATTTCAGACTGTACAGATAATTGAAGTGTGTTTGAATCTGTCAAGGAGCACATATTAATTCAAAATTTCATGTACATTTTGATGATGAGTGCCAAACAACGCGAACCAGGGTCTAGGGGTTTACTATAGACCATTTCCTATCAACTAACATTTTGCTCACATTTGGTATATCTGTATCGGAATTGGAAATAACTCTAATAAACTAACTACAAAACATGATCCATTGAGGACGCTGTAAAATGATGGATAAACCATATTTGTACTTATTGACAATTATAAACATTTATGAAATACTGATCAATGATAATTATTTTTCCAGAATGAACGGTGTAACAATAACGTAGCGTTATTAGATTTCGGAATGAGCAAAATATTGGATCAATAACTTTTATTCACGTTTATCAAGAAAGACCTATTCAAAAAGTCATAACTGGACTGTTAATAAGATATTCTAGCTGTTTGCTATCATTTCATGAAAACTTAAATAATTCGATGTTAATCAATTATGCCTACATATGTCAATCTCTTTATTTATATGAATGCTTAACGAATTTCACATGTCACTTTATGACTAACTAAAAGGGCTCATCAAGTATGTATATTACGTTTACAGTGTTTTGTTATTATAATGTTTGATTATTATTTTTTTAGATGCAACTGCTGAAAAAATTCGTGAGATTGAGACTCTAAGGTTTAGTTTGCTCAAATGTAAGTTGCATATTCTAATTAATTTCATATTCATTTTAGTTTTGCCATCACATAAAAGAACTCAAACCGTTTTGGATGCGATGAAGAGATTTGCTATTTTATAAATATGTAAGTCTATGTACACTGTAAGTTAAACTACAGTATGCAAGTTCTGGCACACTTGTACTAATCGTTTTTGCTTAGTAGTATTTGCGGAAATACTGTATGAGTATAATGATAGAAATAAAACACAAACCTTTACAAAAACTGTTTCTTTGCATTTTGAAGATGGCTAGAACGTCACTCGAAGCTTCATAGGAATAGGATAATGAATCACGTTCGATCAACTGTATTTACCCAGTTTCTCGATATAAATAGAGAGTTACATTGTGCAGTGTGTAGTTGTATTCACGATAACAATAAAACATAGTTTCTAACTGGTGATATGGTTCGATTTAACTAGAGAAAGTTATTAATAAAAGTTAGATAATATATGTTCACAATAAGGTTTTAATATTATCCAAATCAACCTCATGTTCCAAAGAACTTTATGAACAATATCTATGGTATGTTTGATCTTTTCATGAAATATAAAGGATACAGAAATTATTTTATGGCAAATTCACTGGTTTAAGCCAACCTTATTTAAATTGCATTCTCAAATATATCCTCATGGACACATGCATCAGTTTATGTAAAATAAATGAGATTTATTTTTGTATTTATGTTTCAGATGGAAAATGTTTCTTTTAAGAAGTAAATTCACAGTTGGATTAGTGATTGTTTTGGTTGAATTTAAAGACTTGTCGATTGTTCTAGTAATCTGAATTGATAATCCTTTATTACTGCATGTTAAGTTAACGTTTACATAAATAAATAGTGAATTCTTTTTTTCCTGACAAAAAATACTGCGATATTCAAAAATTCACTATATCCACTTACTAAATTTGTATACTTCTGTTTGTGTAAAATTGATGTTTAACACTCTTACAAAATCAAGTATATGTTTGGTGTTTCACAATCTCTTGAATAGTGAATTGTTTATTTTCTTCTGAAGTTTTAAATACAATTGCGTTTCATTTAACCTTTATCTTCTTATAAATATGTTTGTTGATTGTGAATGATCGTCTGAATAATTGAAAAAGTGAATTACTTAATTAGATATACTATTTAATGGAACGCTTTTATACAAAATATAAAAATAACAGTCATTCCGTTTCATACAAAAAGAAGAGTATGAGGAGTTAATTTATTGATTCATGTGAGCAATCAATTTGTTGCAATTCATGTTAGGTCTATCTAGTTTTTAATGGTTGCTAAATTCTATCGATGTAGTTGCAGTGTGTGATCACTTGTCCTAGTGATTCGGTACTGCACCCACTCTGTTTTGGTGTTAGATAGTAGAAGGGAATTGGTAGAAATTTGTAAACTTAAATTTTATACTATTTGGTGCTCATCATCAAAGCACATAAATCATGCGTATGAAAGTATGTACATAAAATGGTGGTTCATATGACGTGGTGATACTCTTATTAGAAATATCTTTCAATTATAATACGTCAATCCGCAATGTAGCGCTGTCAGGGTAATAATAAAAGCTTTAATAGTATGCGCTAATTGAAATTTTTACCAGTGTAATGATACAGTTATCATCGTTAGGTGGTAAGAAATCACATATCTAGGTTTCGTGTTATTTGGCACTCACCATTAAAATGTACATGTCTTACTAAGTCATTGTTTGATTTTCCGTTTAGTAATAAATTAGTTTTCTCTAACAAATCTTCGTTCACTTCATTCCTGTTACACTGAGATATTTTCACATAACATCACTAAGATGTAAGGTGTTGGTTAGAGGTGGTCAACAAGAAACTATGAAGTTAGTTTGCGAGCAGTTTGGCGCTCCTAAGCAATGTGTATCTATAATCTTGAGGGAACTAATACTCCTTAGCGAATTTGATTGATGTTATATTTATCTAGTTCAACATGTTGACATAACAACTGAAGTACAAATGGCAGTAAGCATTCAATAATTTGTACACCTAGTGAAGGAATTCGAGTGATATTCATTATGTTTCACATATCTTGGGAAACTAAACTCCATGTATTCAATATTTCACAACAAAAGTGCTAATAATCACACAGTTCTAGCAAAAAAGTTATAATAAGGTAATCGTTCACTAGAGTTTGCGATAAACTCTAACTCTTAAGATACAGTCTTCTTTCGTATGCTTGTCTAAATATCATCAATACCAATAATCACACTATTCATGTAATGTAGGTGAGTGTTTCAGAGAAAATAATCAAGGTTTTTCAAGAGTCGATCCTAGGTGAGACTTTAATCACAATCATGTGTTGTGGTTCAGTCAATATTTTCTGACATTCTAATTACATGTAAACCCATCAATCCTTGTTCAGGATGGTTGTAAACAGCCATTTTAAACCTGAGATTTCACTTGTACCTCGGTCTGTTTGTCTATTTCTGATTCATATTATTGATGTTTTCTTCGAGTATAACATAATTGTTGATCAGCGTTCAATTATTCACCGGATTTCTGATTGGTCCACTATATCAATCACACTATAGAAAATCATGGTTGCTATAAATTTTTCTGTTTGCAATCATTGGTCCACTGATCTTATTTTCAATAACTGATAAACATGAGAGTGAAGTGTGTTCTGTACAATACGGTGCCCGAAATTATTTTGTCGAATTTTCAAGATCCAAAATAAAAAGCAATTCACTTTGATATAGGAATAATATATGAAACCGATTTCAATAATCTTAGTGGATACAAATGAAACGAATCAATTTACAATGAATGGTCACAATGACGTTGTAACCGAGATCTAGAGGTAATATTGATGTGCGCGATGATTTGTGATAACTAATAAGAGTCTAGGTAAATGAAGTTACGCTTACTGGCGATTTCTCCGACCACAAAATGTAGATTCCTTTATACAAATAATAACACAGATTGCAAATTTTAAGCATAAACTAACGAGCTTAAAATTGTAATTATACCAAAAGGAAAGTTAATGTGTATTTAAAATTTTTATTATGGAAAATTCTTAAAAAGCGAAAGAATCAATTTTTTTCATATTATCACAAAAGTTGGAAAGTGACAGTCCGTTGCATTTGAATTTGCTTAGCCCATATGAAACTTTGTCGGTCGAATTCTCGCAGATACTTTTTAGTGGGGCCCTTTATTTTCTCGTCATTTGGATCGGGCTCACCACTTTAGTGGCCTGGGATCTGACTCCAAGGAGATCGTATGAATGATTGCTGTCGAAAAGTTTATGTCGCCTATCCTCGTACATAATCATCGACTTAAATCGCGTTAGTCAATATGGAAATTAAATAAGTCAAATACGAGAATGAATTTCGAATACGTATATTTCATACAATCTTTGATCCAGACAACATATCGGAGAAGCGAATAGAAGAGAGCGAAGCGAAATAACACACAGTGGAGAAGGCTTGTGCACCAACTCCATTTAACAAACCGTTAATCAATATTTATAGTCAGACAAAAATAAGTGACAGACATGTGATGAATAGGATGAGAAATGTGCACACACACATACGCTCATCTAAATACGACATGAAGGTGAAAAGTGCGCTTTGGTGCAAAAGCAAAGAAATTTAAATTTTCAAAATAAAACTATATAATTAAGGTATTTACCAAGTGAGTTCTGGGGATCTAACATCCCCAACAAATCTCAACATATGTTGGATAGATTTCGTATTTATTTCCTTTCCATACTACCATAAATAGACGTGTTACCGATTCGATTCATTCATTAGAAAAAATTAGAAAATATTTAGCGTGTTGTCTGTCAAGAAAATGGAGTTTAGAAAGTAAACATTTCGATAATGTGAAACGTGAGAATCTTAGAAACAGAAATAAATAGTCCTTAGGTCACAATACTGCTAAGTAATGTGAACGATGAATATGTTTAAATGATTAATCATTGGTGGTATTTCAAAAGCCATCAAAATTGTTATAAAACTCATATTGAACTTTACAGAACAGTAAGCTACATAGAACTATCCAAACAATACTGAATGAAGACTGCTTATGAGATTTTCAACGGCATGTAAAATGTATATTTCGTTTCAGTTTGAGTCATGTAAAAAATGTCTTTTTTAACAAGGTTACATTCCGTGACTGGACTTTATGTTGTGAAATGGATGACGATAACAAACAGTCTAGTGTGAAACGACGTCATCAGGGCTATAATCGTTGATTGCAATTTACTAGTCTACTGGTGAAATCCAAGCTATTTGCGTGAACTGAATGTCTATAAATTATATTAATGATGATGCTCTCTCTGGAAAAAAAATTAGACCACTTGTATTCCGATGATTAGAAAATTAAAAGTTTAACTCAGAGATGATTGATACGAAGTAAACCAGAAACTAAATATTATTAAACCAACTTTTGCACAGCTAGATTCGTTGTACACATAATGTGAATACATGCCATAATTCAAACAAACACAATAATGAGAACTTCAATATAAATAAGAATATGTTAGCTAAACTTAACAAAACAAAATGTAGCTTGCTTTGTGAATTGAAACAACTGCCTCTGATTATTCAGTAGTTAATTAAATCAATTTGACTTGACACCTACCTCAAAGCTAATCACCAATGATAGTTCGATTATGATTTAATCTTGCGTTTGTAGAGATGATGGTGAAAAACTAGTCTCAGCACTTTTTAGTGATATTTATTGGTGGTCGTGATTTTTCAACAGTTAACTAATGTGAGAACATTCCAACTAATAGATTATAGCTGAGTAGCTTAAAGAGATTATGTACGATGGGAGACCTAATTATACTATTTTGCTTCCTGTTCATCGTTGTTTATTTAAACAACTGATAAGTTTCTGATTAGCAGCTGACGATGAAAATTCTTGTTCAAATGAAAAATATAAAGACATAAACAGCTCATCTACATTTACCTGATATACAATATCTACTAAACTGAAGTAGACACAGAAGCTTTGTCTATTTTTTCTGAAAATAATCATTTAAGTTTTAACAAAATTTCATGTGAATGACATTGAAATGTGAGATTATATGTGTAAATCTATCAGGGTATCTTTTTATAGATGTTTTTGTGACCCAAGGAATTTGTTTTTGTGAATAGATCTTAGAATTGCAGAAATCTAATCAAAGTAACGTTATTTGGTGTTGAACTGTTTTCGATAGGCACTGGTCACATCACTTCCATAGATATTACTTCGAAATTAGTTAGATATTAATGGCACAAATGACCAATAGACTGGTACTATTTGTGATAATTACAATATACTTCGACTTTGCACTCTTGATTTAATGTTGTTGGATACTAAGACGAAAGTACTCGAAATTGTGATTCATTGACTTTTGGTGAATTTGATGTTGTTTAGATTAAACTGACTTAAAATACCATAGACCATATTTCCCTTTAGTTTCACAAGTTAATAGTTCACTTATTTGTGATTGACAGTGATTTTACAGTCGTTTTGACAGATATTGCTTCATCATGCAGATTAAATGCGTAAGTCGACCGAAACTGACATGAAATATTTGACAAATTCTGTCTTATGGTTGAGTTTGTTCTGATAGCACTTTTCAACTACGAATTACAGTGTATGTTGGAAATGCCGTTTTATTCAGTTACTTATGATTTTATTATAATTTCAATCGGGATTGTGTGAATGTGTTTCTATTGATTGAATTGAGCATTATCACTAATTCATACATTTCATCTTCAGCACCTTTAATTGAGGTAAATAACCACCGTTACGATTTATGTATTTTGTGGGTTGTGGAACTATGAAAATGAATCTTAAACTCAAAGCATTTGGTTAAATTATAAATTTTACTAAACATAAACCTATTATCTGATTTTTACACTGTTTGAGGTCTTTTAAATATCACCGATGTTTTGTATGGTCTCTTGATTGTGTTCAGAACAAATCTGCTACCTTCTAGAAGTTTGAATGATAAAATGAATTTCCGAATATTATCCAATTAATTTACTACCATAATGAAAAATATGTGAGACGTGATAACTGTGTGGAATGAAAAAAAATAAAGCTAACCACATTATCAGTGGGTTACTATGATACCTAATTCATCATACCACCTGTCAATCATATTTAAAGCGTTGTGACTAGTTTAAGTGATTTTATACCATGGTACTCTTGTATTAATACTTGATAATTAAAGGGAATAGATTGTTACATCAGTCGGTTCTAACTACTGATGTTACTTAAATATCTTGAAACTAATGATAGTGTCAAGATGATAAAGTCAAAATTTATGTAGTAAATGTATTCCAAAAAATAGAGTTGTAAGCGTTATAATAGTGGATGTTTTATACAAATACTTGACTCCTCTTTTTTCTTATCCGGAGAGTTTTGTAGTGAATAATGGTAATTTCATGACTTCAGGTGTACTACTTATATTTGTTTCAGTAAATAGATATAATTAAATAATAATATTTTACAAAAACTATGGATACATCAATTTGACAATAAACGGTAATATTTTTTACAACCATATTTGTCTCAAAACTGCATAGAGATAGACTTCTTGCTACAAACAAAATAAATTAATCTATTTGGAAACTTTCTGGAAAAAAATGTTTTGATAAATCAAACTTCTATAAGCATGTTTTATGAATTGCCGAGGAGACAGAATCCAGAATGAATCATGTATACGATATTCACTGCTTTTCAGTGGATTCAAGAGACAGTTAGGCAAAGATATTTTGTATGATGATGCTCAAGCATCTTCAATTATGACTTCCCTTATCTGGAAAATTTGTAATATTTTCTTACTTCTGAAAGTGTAATTCTTATCTAAATCAATTTATATGAATTCAGTGTATGGTCATTGGATCTGCTTAGTTTTCGTTCATTCAAAGGACAAGGTCAAAATAAAGTGGAGCGATGGCGTTGAGTTTATCAAGCGGATAAGTGAACTGATAGATAACATGTATGTTATTATTAACAAAGTGAAAATTTGTCATAATAATTTCCTAAGGTGTTTGGAATCAATGTGAATAACTACTAGATAATCAAAAAGTGAATTTTAGATTGTGGTTAGGCTGAATTACGCGACATTCTTGATCCCAAGGATGACTGTGTGTCAAAGTACTTGATGTCATTCATTGAGTAATCAAGAGTGTTTAATAATTTTCTAACTCTTACTCTAAATCTAAACCTTAAGTTTCTCAAGCTTATAAACAGGAGGAAGGGAAACCATTGTATTATAGTCAATGTCAGTTTGTGTTGCAAAACCTCATCTTAACTTGTTAACTGAACTCGATTATTAAGATCAAAGCTGTTATTTCACCTTTATTTCATTGTTAATTGTTTTGTTACTATGCCGCGTTAAGTCACTCAATGTCTCTAGTATATTATACTTTTATCAAGAATACTTGTGTAACTCTAAGTATATATTGCTCGGACAATCTTTCAGAATACGAAATCTTGAACAGATCGTCTACAGCAGTTAATTATAATATGGTAGTTCAAGAGCATCGTTCTAGGATTCGTAATAATCAGTCAGGCATTCAAAAAATATAGAATTTCCTCCTTTGTTGTTATTCTGTCAGAGTTGCCATCGATGTTTTCTAGGTAGGCTTTTACCACATAATCATGCGTTAATGTGTGATTTTTAGTACGTTTCCATATTCTGAATATCCTATCGTTATATATATGTATATTTATATAATAACTGGTATGATAATTGAATATAAGTTGGAAAAAAATTATATCGTGTCTGTCTCATACTGTTTCAAGTAGTAAATCTTTAAAAATAAATCTGATCAGTGTAATTACTTAAATCGAATAAAATCTTCGCTTATTTAGTAAACTCCAGACTAAATGTCAGTGCTGATCGGTGTTAGAGTTGATTTAAATTAACTTAAGACGTGCCTAACCAGTACATGTTGTTGGTCCATGGAGTTATTCATTTAAGATATTTAGAGAGTGCTATGACGGCTGCCAGAAATACAGAAAACACTACGAAGCCTTCAATAACTCTCAAAGGTGCTGATTAGACTCTACACAAGCTGAATTCGATAGGAACGTCTAGAATATCAACGTGGTATTTTATGATTGGACGGTTACATTAACTTCATCATCGCAGATTAGTTGGATTATAATTATGTTATAACCTAATCTGAAAACTATAAGTTCACCTTTTTTATGTAAAGTTCGTACACTTACTCAATAAACGCTTCTCTTACCTTCTTCTATCTATTTGACTTGCAACTGCGGGTTCTAGGCGTTCGTGTGCAGAAGCCATAGACGGTATTAGGCGTAATCAAGTAGAGGACAAACCAGGTAGAAATAGACGTCCTGATTGAAGTAAATGTGATAAAATTTTTTACTGGTTGACTACGTTATAAAATAACTCAAAATCGATAGCTATTGTGCCGATGTATACATTCTTTATGTTTCTCTAAATATTAGGTACTCCTATAAAGCCGAACTTTCTATTTCATCAATCCATTCACAATTAGAAAACACCATTCAATATTTTTGGTCGTACTGACATTTATATAACTATCATTTCGTTCACTCTCTTATACAATTGGTGTTTACTTCATTTTAAGGCACTGATGTAATATGACATCTTAGAACAATTGACATTTGTATCAGGTCCTACATTGATTATGACCGGTGAACTGATATAGCAAACTTTATTTCTTTTATCGTTATGTTTATATTGAGATATTAACAGCCATCTCTCAAGGATATATTTTAAAAGGCAATTGAAAGAAACCGCAAGTATCATTCAATTTATATTATTAGTCACTGTTTTATGTTTCACGAAAATACCAAGAAAATGAAAATTTTATTGTAATTTTAATGACCATGATTAAATCCAACATTCAATCCCCCTTTAATTCCTTCGTTACGAAATGAAATGAAATCTTTACCACCAGAGATAATGTATTGAATAAGATTTTCTGAATGATAATATCATCTGCATAAAAAAAGTAATGTCAATGAAGATTGACTGATAAGCTTGATTTTACTTTATTGTCGATTCTAGCAGCGACGGTATAAACCTAAATCACGATTGCATACTGGACAACGATGATCAGCGTCTTTACAGGAATCGCAGCAGAATGGTATAAGACAACAACCAAATATCCCACTAATGTTAGAAGGAAAATAAATAAATGAAATGTTTTTCCATTAGTATATTTATTTAAATATTATAAATCAATATATCAATCAAGTTTACTAACTAAATCCTAAGTTTATTTTGTGAGTTGGCTGTGTCAGGGTTTACCGTTGTTCATCCCAGGAGAATAAACCAAACGTTCTACTCATATTTAGTTCAGTTCAATAGGAACAACCTGCACTGTCAACAACATTCCGTTTTTAAATGCTTGTGTGGTTTAGAGGAATAGATAATGTGATTTGGTAATTACTTTACTTATATGTTTGCCCGCAATTAATTGTTAATGAGTAAATGCTGAAAAAAGTCATGAAAAGATTATTCTGAATAGATAATAAGCAAGACTATTGATGGAAGATATGTAGCTTATATAACACTAGTTACGGTGAGTTTTGAGACAAATAACGCATCAGTTTGTTGTAAGCGAACTTGTTCTAATTGGTCAATTTTATTTATTTACGAAAATCCATTCATATACTAATTGTTTATGCCTGGACAAGTCTTATTTGAATAATTAATTAATACATTTAAGTAGAGATAGATGGTGGCTAGCAGTGGAATACAGGACGCGCGTTTCGTCTTACCTGGAACTCATCAGCTGAATGTACCTGCATCTCAGAACCCAGTATTGTTCGCTTCCAATGACATCGCGTTATTCAATTTGCTACTGAGTTCAGATATCTACTGACTAGTACAATGAAGTGAATTAAGTAATATTGTATTTTCACAGTAGCTTTGTTTGGATTTATTGCTGTGTCGAACTTAGTGAATGTCAACAGTGTTATATTGCGATCAAATATTGTTTACTGAATTCCGAACAACAAAAATATTAAATATTATTAGGTTTCAATGGAGCTAATGTTTTGTGGCACTAGATATTTGAGAACCAGATTTAATATCATGGCTAAGATTCGAATTCAAGTGAGTAGCAAAGTTAAACTGTACAAAATATTTTACATACTACATATTTTTCCTTATTTAAATTCGCTTTCAGTCGAATACCTTTAAATTATTCCTATCGTATTAATCAATTTTATTAATGTACTATTCAATACTTTCTCAGTCGAACAAGTAAGAGTTTATTTTTGCGCTTTCTTAGATTTACCATATTTATCTCTTATTTATTGGGGGATTTTTTCTCTATAAATTCAAGTATAATGTTGATCTGTCGAGTGTTTCATGATAAAGTGTGTAAATAAACTGAGTACGTCAATAGGACGAATGCAGTATTCTTTATTTATGTTTCAAATATGGTTTTATAGAGTATTATTGAGTTTTAATGTAATAAACCCAGCTGTTATAGTTTCCTAGTGATATTAATGTGTAACAGAAAGTTGTAGCGATCAAAAATGTAGCTTAGTATCAAATATCTATCATTTATTTATGGTGAGAAGCCTGAATATAAATTGTAAGCATTTATATCTTTTAAGGTGTGTATATTTACTGTTAATGTGAGATTTCAATTCTCTAATGAAGTCAGAAATGTCATTTATAATGCCCACTGAATAGTTTAATCAGTAGCCAGAACCATAGGAATAACTTTCCATTCAAGTTCACAAAATAATCTCAAGGTTCATTAACTACGATTAAAATAACTTTTCATCAATATTGCTATTTATAACAGCAAAGAGATATCTTTAAAATTCTTAAGTTTACTCAAAGTTCCATAGATTTGTGGAATAATCAAAGTTGTCAATATAAATTTCTGATAGAAGTGAACTATTCATGTGTCTCAACATATGACTGACAGCTTGTTCCGTTGACCATGATCTTGAGTAGCTGTTGTCAGATCATTGTCTGAATCTACATTTTTTGTGTTTTCCACTGTGACTAGATTTCGGGTCTTATGGTTGTTGATAATTGTCCTGACTGATTAAGAAATTGGGTTGGTTTCTTCATGTTTTTTGATTGCTTATTGGACTGAGTGCAACGCTTCCAAAAATTATCTGGTTTTATTTGTATTCCCTCCCTCCAAGTTTTCGGCATTTCCCAAGTCAAATGTAAGCCCATAATTGTCTACGTGTATTGATATGAGCAAAAATATATCATCGAGTTAGGTCACGCTTCATATGCGGTAGGATGGTCCGTTTGTTTATTTGCACATTTGATTTCATTCTTTTTGATGGGTTTGGTAGACATTTTCCAATGAAGTTGCACGAGTCACCGTTTTTTGACAAACGACCATTAGATATTTGTTTATCACTTTTCCATATTGCAGATGTACTGTAGTGTCTCTTCGCTCTCTTGAATAGAGTTTATACGTATTTGGCTTTGTCAGTTGTTGTGTTATTCCTTTAGTAGTTGAGACTGATCTGTATTATTTGGTTCCTAACGCACCGGTTTCTTCAGTTTCTCTGAGGTTAGGGTTAGTGGAAGGCTGATATTTAATTCTTTAACCATTATGAATATCAAGTCGTCGTAAGCGTCAGTGGTCAAAATGAAGGTACTTACTGGTTAGTTCTTATTAATAATGACGAATGTATCGTCTATCTAACAAATTCATATTTTTGGACTTGATTGATATAATATTTCTGATAATATATAGAATATAAGAGTTTATATAGCCTAGTGAGTTATTGTTTGAAATCAAAGTTTTCATTTATATATGTTGTTTCAAGCTTCTCAATGTTTAAAAAATGTGACCAGTCATGTTACTTAATCCAAAAATCTGTTTTTACTAAATGACCAAGAACAACTGTGAAGAACCAGTGATTAAGTGTACAAAGATTCTATCAAATTTGTTAAGAATGTACTTTAGATCAAGAGAAGACAGTTTACATCCTGAGGGTTAAACACTTGTTGGAATCCAAAATCGTATTTTTAAATGATTTACTTAGATAATTTGAGTAAACTGATCAGCAAGATTGTTTATATACTTAACTGGGAAAAATGAAAACAGTAGCTAGAGCTATGTACAATTCGTGGTTAGTTGAAAATCGTCACAAGACTTAATTACTGATTTTAATCTTAAGAGATAATCATGCCAATACATTTAAGTAAAATAATTCTGATATATTCAGTAAAGTTGGAAACCGTAGTATTCTTTGAAAATTATGAATTTTTTGGTGGTAAGCAAATTAACAAAATTGTAATGATAAGTCAAGTATTAAGAGTACATTGATAAGCATGTTATCCATATAAACATATATTTATCCACTGATTAAAATCCTACATTAAATAAGATCCATAGATTCTGTTATAACTTGTGGCTTTGAGTCCTGTAATGCACAACGTAATGATAATGCTAATTAGAGAACAGTGATTTATCGACCGGACCAATGATACGTAAACCCCATACGAGCTGTTTATAGTCTTTATCAGTTCTTCTTCCTTCCTATCCTTGCTTGTTAAGTCCAGAACAACAATCTCAGCCTTCGCAATATGAATCATTTATTTCAATCATACTGGGTTTATATCCAAACCAAACAGACCATTAAATAGAAAATAACATTTGTACAAGATCTGGACGAAAGTGGCTGTAAATGTGGGAGATGGTAATTGATAGACTGGACATAACTCAAGAATAGTAAATCGTATAATAATAGTTCATTAGTCAAAATAAAGCTTATAATAAGAGGAACTCGAATATGCATAGTTTAGTCATCACCTAACAATTATACAATATAAATGTATGTATCGTATTAGTACAGTAATAAATTCCAACAACTACTATTCATTATTTTCATCGGGATATAACAGATTTATAATTACTGGACTGAAATATTAAACACTTTTGTTATGAAATATTTAATAAATCACACTACTTTTATTATTTGTATTACACTTATTTAAAGTTAAATCTTTTTATAAACGAACATGTACTTGAGAATGATTCAACTATTTTCATGAATTTTCCCTTTCCTAACATACTTTCTTATCAATAAACATAACCTAAAAATTATTAACTAATTAAGTATTTTTATTGTTAGTCAATATTACCTTACATAACTTAAAATGTTCTACAATTACTTTAATTAAACTACATTATATGATTGTTTTCTTATCATAAAAATGTATTATTGAATTAATATACTTTATAAGTTAATGATTGGCAGATGATAAAGTGATTTTTTCTCCTTTTTTTGACTAAATTTAATTGAATGTTGAAAGTGCATTATTTGACATGGTTTTCTTTGTTTATGTTTTTTAAAAGTGATATTTATACACATGAAGTTGCATGATTGACATTGTGGTTTGAAATAGTAATTTTAAAAAATTACTTGTTTTTTTTTATAAAAAAAATTGTATTTTCATGTTTGACTCAAAATTCAAATATTTATTTAAATGATAATTTTCACTAAAAAAATTGTTTTTAGACTCCATGGAAAAAAAAACACAAAAACAACGAAACATATTAATGACGCAGATCTGTTTTATTAAAATTAAAATTAAAAATTCAATTAATATGATAATTACAATTAGACAGAGGTTTTGTGGAGATTGTAGTAATTTAATAATTAAATTCATGAGTCAGTTGAAACTAGATCACCACGGGAAATCTGGAAGCAATGGACGACTGTTTCAATCTAGTACAGGACTCCTCAGTAGTGTGCATCCAAGATCCCACCGCACAAAATTCGAACCAAGGACCTATTTTCCGGAGATCTAGTGGAAAGCCTTGACCAGTGGAGTTCAACCGACTCCGTTGCAAGATAGTAGCTTACTTATGACAATGGTGGACAGTGGCGAAATTTCATGGATTAGTTGAAGTTAGACATTAACACTGCTGGATGTCAACTCAGTGGTCTACAGGTTAAGTGTTTGCGCCCAAGACTGATAGGTCCTGGGTTCGAATCTCTCTAAGTGGGATCGTGGATGCACATTGCTGAGGAGTTTCACATTAAGATGAAACGTCCGTCTAATGCTTTCAGGTTCTCCATGGTTATTTAGCTTCAATTAACTCATGAATTCAGTTATTAAATAATGATTACAGTAAAATAAATTAGTATATCAAAAATACCACTAAAGTTGAC